GTGGTTCCCACGTTGCCAGCAGTTTGGCTGCTGACTTTTTTAAGAGAGGCAACATCCATAGCTTCCAACATTTCTTCACTTGCTACCACCAGACGTCTTTATGGTGAGGATCGTATTTTAATTTTTTGCTCGCTTCCTATTTCTATTCTCCTGACTGCTCTTTTATTTTTCATATTTTAGGGGCGTTTATGTGGCTGGTGAGAAGATGGGTATGTATCTAGCAGTACGTGATTTCATGATTGAGTATGTGAGAATGGCAACTCGTCTCAATACCTCGGAGATTGAGAGAGCCAAAAACCAGCTCAAAACACACTTGCTCCTTCAGTTAGATGGCACAACTCCTATTTGTGAAGAGATTGGTCGTCAGATGCTTGTCTATGGCCGACGTATTCCAATGAAGGAGATGCTCAAGCGAATAGATGTAAGCTATTAAACTCATAGTTAATAATGATCGATACAAATTATGGTCGTAATTTGTGTTTTTGTGTATTTTCGTTTTAGAGCGTCAGTGTTGATAGTGTTACTGAAGTTTGTCACAAATATTTTTATGATCGCTGTCCAGCTGTCGCTTGCATGGGTGGGTTGTTTTATAACTATTTGCTTCTACTCAAAAACCTTTATATCTCTTAACATGTAACAGATCATCAGTTTGAGACTTATTCATCCACTGTTACTTTTAATTTCTTCTTACATTTTTTATAGGCCCTGTTGAAGTTTGGCCCGATTACACCGCTGTTCGGGATATGAGCTTTTCACTGAGAATCTAGTCTTAATCTCTACTGGCGAAATAATTTTAGATAAATAGTCTAAGTTTACATTTATTGATTTATCTTCTATATTCTAATCACCATATGGGTTAATGATAAGCTTATTTGGATTTGATTTTATTAAGAAAATAATAAATGTTATCCTCAATTTGGTGATAAATTGTTTGCACACGAAAAGTAACATTTAATAGAATGTATGAAGACCAAGATGGTGTGGCATTTTGTGTGATCGCAATCTCCTTTCGTTTTAATGAGGTTGTTTGACCTTCTTTTTGCAACTTGGTCATATGGGTAGGAAGACTCAGAGGAAGGCACCTAATTCAGAGTCAATTGTATGCATGATCATGGTCGTGGACGTGGTTCATTCCCAGACGTTTTGCCGGCATCGTCAGTAAGCCTCGCCATTCTTAGTACCACACACCAACTCGTCAGAGACAAGTGAAGCCGATCCTTTAACCAAACGTGTGCTAAACAGTTGTAATATCTAACCTTCTGTCCTGGGATATTGACATTTCGTATATCCTCCAATCACGCCTTCACTTTTACCATTTTATACTGTGCATATTTTGATGTAGTGTGGCGTGTTTGGAGTCTTGATCAGTTAGCCATATTGTTAAGCAGTCCTTCTCTAGGTCTTATCGCAGTCTCTTGCCCCGTTAGATCCGTCTACTCTCTCCTTTATTCACATATTTCACTCGATCACTGTCACTCCATCTGTGCCACTCGAGGCGTTATTCACCCTCCCTTGCGTCTAGATGAGTAATTCGAGGTTAAAACCTCTGAGTAACCCATGGTCACGCCTTTGCTGCATGGCCTTTTCCTACTGTCAGCCAACTAGCCTCAGTATCCGCCGCATCTATCCTGTTTTTATCCTTAATGCCAAGTCTATGACTTCCTATGCTCTACTTTCTTGTGTGCTAACCTACAAATGGTACTGCTTGTTTTGATTAGGTTCACACACAAGAGACTAGGACGTAGGAAGTGATATACATGGTATTACAGATAGATGAGGGAAAGACGCGGTGGAGACTAAAGCAGTTTGACTAACAACAGCCGTGTTTGATCATAGACGTGATCCTTGAATCAAGACCATTGTTTGCTAGCTAGCTCTAGTTTCTGCTGCTTCTACCCTCTTTATATCTCTAGTACCAAGTCTATGACTTCCTATGTCCTAGTCTCTTGTGTACCAACCCGCAAATTTTGTGGTTCAACATTGAACATAATCGAAGCAAGCAGTATCACAATGTTTGTGGGTTGTCGCACAAGAGACTAGAGCATGGGAAGTCATAGACTTGGTGTTAGGGATAGAACCAGGATAGACGCGGCGGCGATGGGAGCTAGTTGGTTGACATTAGGTTTTACCAGAGACGTGGTCCATCTAGCAAAGGCGTGACCATGAGAGTTACTCAGACTAGCCTCGAATTAGTTTCTCAGACGAAGGGGAGGGCGAATAACGCCTCGAGTAGCACAAATGGGGTGGCAGGGATCGAGTAATATACGTGAACCAGAGAGAGATCTTACGGAGCAAGAAACAGACTGTGATAAAACCTAGGTAAGGAGGACTGCGTAACAATGTGACAAACTCTGGTCAGCATTCCCAGTACAGTGGTGATTGAGGTGAGAACTACAGTTTGGAGTATGAAGGATTTTCGTAAATGCCGCTCGGAGAAGCACACCACACTACATCAAAATAAGCACGGTAAAAATTTTAACGGTTGAGGGGTGATAAGAGTATATAGGAAATGTGAATAGCCCCGAGCAAAAGGGGAGATAGCACAACTGTTGTGCACACGTTTGGTCAAAGGATCGGCTTCACCTGTCTCTGACGAGTTGTAATATGGTTCTACCAATGGTAAAACTCACCGACGATGCTGGTGAAACGTCTGGGAATGTACCACGTCCACGGTCCTACTCTGGAAACGATGATCTATACAATGGACTCCGGACAAGGTGCGTTCCTCTAAGTCTTCCAACCAATATGACCGAGTTGCCAAAATAAGGTCAAACAACCTCTAAGTAACATTAACAATCTTTTGTTTGTTTACTCATGATAATTTGTCTTACTTAGACTAATCAATGTGGATCATAAATATGAAGGCTAGGATAGTCGCAGTCCCTCTCAGCTTTATCGTGTTGGTTTAACCCCGTTTTCGCAACGTAATCGGAGCATCAGAGAGACCTTGTGGAAAATACCTAGTCATGTGTCCTCTCCCATGTTATTTGTGTTTTCCAGCATATGACTGTTGACTTAGTACCTTCCTGAACGTTTCGTTGGCATCGTCAGAACACGGTTATGACTTACTAAAATGACAAAGGAAGGCAATCATTTATCCAAATTTTCCGTTTAATCATTGTTCAACCAATGTAGACTCTTAACCTTATTACCTCCATTTTTCTAAAGGATTGTGCAAATTTTGCTTTAGTGTGCAGTAACTTAAAATGCAATTGGGCTTCAGTTGAATTAAGTTACTTTCGTTATTTGGTGCGATCTATATATCTGAGAAGCTAAGACGATTAGGTCAGG